GTCAAGCGTTGGAAAAAATCCCACCCACCCAAGAAACCCATAACATTGAGAAAATATAAAGTTCACTCAATACTTTCCCGGTAGGCTTAAAGCTCAAAGTCCAATTGGTCCAAAATATTTTAGTTTTTAACGGACCCAAAACCCGAAATCTAATCTAAGGCCCACAATAAGCCCTTTATGCTCTTAAGGCCCTAAACCCTACGGTTTAGAAGCCCCTATCGGTGAAGGCTCGGTTTTGGTCAAAAATCCAGAAAACGAGAGCCCACCCAGAACCGTCGATTTCAGTACTAAAACATCGCATTTTTAACTGGGACCCAGGCCGATCCTGCGGTCCCCCTCATTCCACAACTAGGCTGTGAAAAGGTCACGGGGGCGGCCCTTCATCAGAATTGAGGGTTAAAAACCCTGAAACATCCTGAAAACATTGAAAAACCTTGAAAAACACTGAAAAACTCTGAAAAACCCTGAAAAAACTCTTCACCGAACTGAATCCGAAACTCTCAGGGCCCTGAGGCCCTAAACCCTATGCCCCAAACCCTAACAGCCTAAACCCTATGCCTCAGGGTGTAGGGCCCCCCGGGTGGAAAAAAACCGTTTGCCGACGAAGGGGGTCAGGGTTTAGGGCCCCCCCCCCGGGTGGAAAAAAACCATTTGCCCACGAAGGGGGTCAGGGTTTAGGGCCCCCCCCGGGTGGAAAAAAAACCATTTGCCCACGAAGGGGGTCAGGGTTTAGGGCCCCCCCCGGGTGGAAAAAAACCATTTGCCCACGAAGGGGGTCAGGGTTTAGGGCCCCCCCCGGGTGGAAAAAAACCATTTGCCCACGAAGGGGGTCAGGGTTTCGGGCCCCCCACGGGTGGAAAAAAACCATTTGCCCACGAAGGGGTCAGGGTTTAGGGCCCCCCCCGGGTGGGAAAAAACCATTTGCCCACGAAGGGGGTCAGGGTTTAGGCCCCCGCCGGGTGGAAAAAACCCATTTGCCCACGAAGGGGGTCAGGGTTTAGGGCCCCCCCCCGGGTGGAAAAAAACCATTTGCCCACGAAGGGGGTCAGGGTTTAGGGCCCCCCCCGGGTGGAAAAAAACCATTTGCCCACGAAGGGGGTCAGGGTTTAGGTCCCCCCGGTTGGAAAAAAACCATTTGCCCACGAAGGGGGTCAGGGTTTAGGGCCCCCCCGGGTGGAAAAAAACCATTTGCCCACGAAGGGGGTCAGGGTTTAGGGTCCAAAGGCTCGGTTTTGATCAAAAATCCAGAAAACGAGAGCCCACCCAGAACCGTCGATTTCAGTACTAAAAAATCGCATTTTGAACTGGGTCCCGGGCCGATCCTGGGGTCCCCCTCATTTGGGGTGTTTTTGGAGGCACGGCCCAGGAAAAAAACCATTTGCCCACGAAGGGGGTCAGGGTTTAGGGCCCAGAAAAAAACCACATGCCCACGAAGGTCATTAGGGTTTAAATATACATAGTAAAAGAGGGTTTAGGGTTTAGGGTCAGTACCAGACAAGCCGCAGCTCTCCACTTCGTTGGAGCAGGGCGGGCAAAAGGTCATGTGCGCGTAGGTGCTCGTGATCTGAGGGCAATTTTAGGGTTCGTAAGGGAGGGGGGTTTCGGGTTTAGGGTTGAGGGTTTTCTTAAGGGAGGCGGGGTTCAAGGGGGGTTCCCCACTGCTCCCTAATAAGGCTCCCTAAGCTTCCGCAAAACGGACCGAGGGCTTGCGAACAGGAGGACATGAAACCTCAAAAAACCTCAGAGCCTTAAGCCCAAACCCCTTAAAAACCTTCAACCCTACGACGCCCAAAAACGTGAACCCCAAGGCCCAAAAAAGCAAAAAACGCCCAAAAACTCCGGAGCACAAAACGCCAAAACTTGGTCCTCTCTCCCCGAAATCACTCGAGCGCCCCGGAGGCGAAAGAGACACCAAGTCGCTGAAGACGTAGACAGGGTGTTGTGGCTTACTATGAGGGTTTAATACGGGTTGAGGGTTGAGGATTTCCCTAAGCCCTAAACCCTAAGTAGTGCTTAGAGTTCAAAACTTATAGGCATAGAACCCGTGATGCTCGGGGAAAGTCCGGACAAAAGTTCGAAGTTTGGACAGGGCTCGGATTCCAGGCCTGCATAGTTAGGGTATAGGGCTTAGGGTTAAGGGTTCAGGGTTGAGGGTTTATAGGGTTTAGGGTATGCTTCTAGCGTTTAGGGGTTTAGGGGTTTAGGGGTTTAGGGGTTTAGGCCGCAGATGGATGCCTCGGATACACCCCGAACCGTGGGCGGCGCTTGTTGGATCGTGGGATGGTAACTGCAACCCCTACTTGGAGGTTCATGGCACTTATTAACCATTTATGACTGTACTTATGTACTTATAACCCACTTACAAGCCCCTTAAGTCTCCTAATTTGGCTAAAAATTGGACTTTTATTACAGTTAACACTGGGTTGATAAGTACCCTGAACTTCCAAGTAAGCACACGCCCGCCACCCCGCCCTCCAGCCAACAAAGAACAAACCCTATAAGCTACCAAATAGGCACCCCTTTCAGGCTCGAGTATACCACATGCGTACATGGACCCACAGGGAAAGTGGAACTCACATCCTCTCGCTCCTTCTCTGCTTTTGTCGCGCTGCGCCGAGGCACTCCGTCAACGGACGGCCGCCACGCGTTGCGTTTGCGCGGGCTTCCCGAGCCCTTCGAGCTCTTGAAGCTCACATGTTTGGGTCTCCCGGAGCCTTCGAGCTCTTGAAGCTGACATCTTGCTGTGCCCCAAAGGGCCGCAGAGTAAGGCTTCTACTGCAAGGGCCCCTAAAACAGGTCCCTGCGTCGGTTCCAAAAAGCCCTGAACCCTAAACCCTAAACCCTAAACCCTAAACCCTAAACCCTAAACCCTAAACCCTAAGCCCTAAACCCTAAACCCTAAATGCAAGCCCAGGGCCCCTCCTCCGGAATCCAGTAAGGAAGGTAAGGCACCGCAGAAAAAGTGACCACGCAATTTTTTCTCACTTAGTTAGAAGCCTTAGACTTGTAGACCCTAAGGGTTTAGGGTTTAGGGTTTACCCTAACTTGGTTGCTGAGTTCATAAGCCCCCAAAAAGTGTACACTTTCAGTTCTATTGGGGGTTATATACTATCCCAAAAAGTTTAAAGTGCGCTCACTCGGCTGCTAAGCTCAGTAGCAGTAGAAGGATGCAGGGTTTGGGGTGTATAGGCTGCAGGGTTCTACCTTTTGTGAAGGGTCTCATGAGGATTCAAAGGCTCAAATTAGGTGTAGGGCTTTGGGGTTTGGAGGATTTAGAGGGTTTGGAGGGTTTAGAGGGTTTAGAGGGTTTAGAGGGTTTAGAGGGTTTAGAGGGTTTAGAGGGTTTAGAGGGTTTAGATGTTTGAGGGGTTTAGGGCTACAGAGCTGTGAGACAATCTCAGTCCCAGAGAACAGATGCTCCTGAGCGGTCACCTCGTCACCACAAAAGATTAGGGCTTTAGGGTTTAGAGTGTTTTTAGTTTTTTAAGGTTTTTGCAGGCGTTGTAGGGGTTTGTAGGAGTTTTTTCGGGTTTCATAGGGTTGTTTGAGCTTGTTTAGTGCTATTTTGGGTTCATGTTGTGAGTTGTTTTGGGGTTTTAGGGTTCATTAGGGCTTATATGTGTTGATAGGGGCTTTAGGATCTTGAAGGGGCTTTTGGGCTTTATGGGTTTTAAGGATGGGGTTTTGGGTTATCCTTCTTTTTGAGCTCTTAAGCCGCATGAATCCGGACTCCCACACCTAACCCAAAGAGCCCAACAGCCCTGAACCAAGGAAATATACTTTTAAATCCTATTGAGGATCTCTATACAAACTATACCTGAATATACCTTAAATTCGATTGAGGATCCCTATATAAACTCAGGTATATTCCTTAACTCAGGGGTATGGGGCTCTCCGTGAACCGCCCGAAACCAGCACTCCAACCTTGTCCAGTTGCTGTTCCAGTTGCTATTCTGAGCCTAATATGTTCAGGGTTTAGGGTTTAGGGTTTAGGGTTTAGGGTTTAGGGTTTAGGGTTTAGGGTTTAGGGTTTAGGGTAAGGTACCGAAAAAAGGACCATATTTTTGAGAACTGACCCCTTATTTGGGTTTGAAGAATCTTTGGTCATCTCCGGGGAATGTATGCTTTCGCCGTCGCAGAGCTGGAGGACTGTCAGAATCCCAAAACCTAAAACCCTAGACTCTGTAACCCCTCAAAACCTTCCAAACCCTCAAAGCCTAAAACCCTCAAAGCCCGAAGAACCCTAAACTATAATAACAGACCAATCGATTCGAGGGGCTCCGGCTTAGGGTTCAGGAACTAGCACATCTCCTACTTGGAGTTCATGGTACTTATTCTTATAACTGTACTTGCAAGCCAAGTAGAACCAGAGTCGGATTAGGGTTTAAGGTTAAGTTTAGGGTTTAGGATTTAGGGTTTAGCGTTTAGGGTCCAGGGTTTTAGGGTTTAAGGCTACTTCGCCGGCTTGTAAGTGGGTTACAACTACACTTTCAACATGGTGTTGAGTGCCCTGAACCTCCAAGTCTCTTGCTATTTGCTTCATAACCACCCGAAAGACAAAGAAGAATACTCCCTACATACTCCTTATAAGGAAGAATCTTGTGTTTTGTGTTTTTTTTTTTTTTTTTCTGTGGGGGGGGCGGCCTCCTTAAAAATAGTAGCATACTTGGCGGGCCGGAACACGCAGAAGCATGTGCTCAGTATGTTAGAACCCACTTGTGATAACCCTAAACCCTAAACCCTAAACCCTAAACACTAAACCCTAAACCCTAAACCGGCCCAGAACCGCCAAGCCGGCGAGATGCTCAAAAGCTCTACCCTGCAAAAAAACATGTACTTTTAGGTATAATATGTAGCTATAATCGGAACCCAGAACCACAAAAAGACACGAAAGTGTAGTACTCCTAAACCCCTAAGCCCCTAAACTCAAAACCCCTAAAACCCTAAACCCCTAAACCCTAAAACCTAAACCCTTAACCCTAAACCCTAAACCGAGATGC